GTCTTCATTCGAAGTAACAGGTTCTGGTAATGTTGGAGGCGCTTTTAACTTTGAGCCATAGTTGATGAAATTATTTTGTAATCTCACAAACTTCCTCTTGTTCATTGGTGTCAATTCAGGATACATTTGGTTGAATTTTCTGCAATTTCTGGCAATGATTTGATCACATTGTCCGTGTATAATGAATAACTTCATAAGAACTTCGTTTGAATAATCGATATTCTGGGAGATCTTTCGAAACACTGTCAATAACAATAATTACTGAATTGCTCAATAATGTCACCGAACTGTCATGAGTTTGATATTTCCATGGCTATCTAAAACTAACTTTTTCATAAAATTATATTTTTTACAAAAAGCGGCTTTATTGAGTAAACTTGAAGATTTAGGTATAGGGACATGCTATGTCATTTTTTTCAATGGCTTTGTGCCTTCTTCCATTTTCGAACCATCGGTGTACCAAAGGGGTGTACCAAACAAGAGAACCTCTGTCCAGCTAAGGCTCAGCGGAACCGTACCTAGGGCGGCTTTTTATAACCACTTCAGAGTTATGATCGAAACTGAGCCTGGATGGCATTATGTCCGATGGTTTGGTTGCAGATTCCATTTGTTCTTCTTGTAGAATGACCATGTGACCAGTGACATCACCTGGTCTGGCCAATTCAGTGGAGTTCAGTCTGTATGCACTGAGAGCTGCAGTCCTCTTGATAAAAATATGCAAGGGTAGTAGGTCAAGCATAGCTTCCAATGCTGCAGTAGGGCACGTACGCATAGCCCCTGTGATCCCAAGACACGCAAGTCTCTGGATTTTTTGCAGCTTGAGTTGTGCTGTTTTTTCCTTACTTTTGGTCCACCACACTAGAGAAGCGTATGTGACCATGGGTCTGACCACCGTGAGATAAGACCAGTAGATCATATTTGGTTTAGGACCCCACGTTTGGCCAAACATCTTTCGGCATATCCAGAGAGCTGAAATTGCCCTATTGACGATTTTGGTCAAGTGTTGGTTCCACGTGAGTTTCTTGTCTAGGATTACTCCTAGATATTTGACCTCTTCGGAGAAATTGATAGGCGCCCCATCCATAATGGGTTCCTTTAACTTGATCTTCCTTCTTTTGGTGAATGGAACGATGACCGTTTCGCTTGGGTTGACATTCAAGCCGTCCTGAAAGCACCAGTCTTTCAGCAAGTTGAGTGCAGTCTGCATTAGGTTTGATAAAATCCTATCATGCTTGCCTCTTATTATTATGACAATGTCATCCGCATAGCCTTGAATATCGAATACGTCGAACGCTAAGAAGAATATGCGCGTGCTAGATAGTTAGATTGAGAACATTCAACGGGTTGCTCCTGAACGATCTTTCTCAAAAAATCGGAAATGTGTGAACCTCTAAGAGTGCATACCTATGCCAAGAAAAGCGTATACAGAATATTCCTGCCAGTAGTGGCTCGGCACCATATGTGGATAAGTGGTATATCACACTCGCACATGGCCTCACAATAACTAACAAGTCAACCCATTTCCAGAGACCGCCAATAGCCTTCTCGAAACGTTTGATATATTCCTCTCACAGTCACAGCTCATATTGTTTGAAAAACTTCAACAGCACATGATAATCTTCTTCATGAACTTCATCTTCTTTGATTTTCTCTCATCATCGTGAAACTGGAAAATTAGGAAACACTCATCAGATTTTATGATATTGATATTTTCATTTTTTTTTTTGTTCCATTAATTATTCCTCAAAAGAAGCTGTGGAACGAGTTTGTTCAAGTTAACTCCATAATATGACCATTCTGCAAATATATATTGAATATTTTCCAATTTGTTGTTCTTCAATTCCTTCATCAGACATGTGTACCTAGCTCTAGACTTACTTGCGTTCCTATAGATACCTATCAATAAACCATCACTGACGAGCAAAATATAATTCAAGTATTATACTTGTGGTTTTTGCAGTACCTGGTGGGACGAAAAATTATTAGTCATTGTTTCTTTTTGCAACCCAATCAAAAGATTCGTCAAAAATGAAACCATACAAACTCAGAACAAACTACTGGAGAACGAAACCACCAACGCCTTCAAATCGGAAATGCGAGGTGTGTGAACTTCGGAAAGTACTTTCTCACCTAGAATAGCGTATATAGAGTGTTCCAGAGGTGTGAGCCAGTAGTGGCTCGTTACCACGTTACCTCACCATGTGTGTAGGCGATATCACACTCTCATGCACATTGCCTGAGAGTGACTAACAATCCAACCCATTGGAGAAACTACTTACAGCCGCAGTTACATTCTCCAAACTCTTGATATATTCCACTTACAGTCACAGCTAATATAAAGAAAGAAGAGTTCACATGCAATGAGATTATATGTAATATCACCTCAAAATGTTTAATTTGTATGAGTAAGCTCATGATATATGATTCGGAAAAAATATTTTCCCTAAGCAATCATTTTCAATATTTCTTCATCTCTTGGAGCGCACTGAAGGAAATTCCCATGTTCGAAGAGCATCGTGCGTACCTAGGGAGGGTAGGGAGAGGAGGTAGGTATCGGAATTTTGTTTTAAATTAGGTACTTATTCAATGTTTTGAAAGGTCTCTTCAAGAAAAGTAAGTCCGGTCCTGGAATTTTTCATCGAATATAGCCTCTTTCAACACATTATAATACACCGGTATGGAAGAAATAGATTTAAATACATTTGTTGAATGATGTGACTAGAATTGCCAGTACGAAATCATGAAATTGTTCATTGGTATTTTGTTTGATATTTTTTCACCAATCCGGTCGAACTGTAGCGTACAAATTGAAAAGCTACACTTGTAGTGTTTTTCCTGATCTTTCTGATTCTGATGAGAGTTTTTGAAAAATACTTTTCAGAAAGACGAAATTTTGGGATCACAAAATGAAATGAGTTTTCCTAGTGCGGCTCTGGATTTTTTTCCATAGTAGGCTAGTGAATCAGGCGCTGAATATTCAAACTAGTGTGTGACAAAACATCAAGGGGTAATATGAAAACTCATTATATAAAAAATAACACATTCACGAGGCGAATAAATAAGAAATATAGTGAACAATTCTAAATTCAAGGCTAATACTCATAATATTGTGAACGTGATATAAATTTTTGGAAAAGGCACCAATAATTTGAATATGAAAAAAATTGCAGGGTGTTCTATTTGAAAAACAAAACATAACTTTGGGTTATACCTAAATAAAAACAGCTTATTTTGAACATCTGACTACGCCACTGGATTCCACGTGAAAAACAGTGACAGTTCTTACTTTACCTATATGAGTTGAAAGATAGCTGAGATACAGGTCCCAAAATGTAACATTTTTGATTTCGCGCTGTATCTCAAAAACTAAGTGGGCTATGAAAATTTAGTCGTGAGTTTCACATAAAAGTAGTCAAAGTCCGCGAAAACCGCAATAAATCTCTATCTCTGAAAAGTGAGATATCCCGTGAGAACATTGAAAATGGGACAGCCTGTACAACCTCATTATTAGAGAAAAATGTGTCCCCCGCCAAATTATAGTCGACCTATCCGAGCGATTTGAAATTTTTTGAGATAAGGGGGCTAACAAGTTTTAGCTGGGACAAATTGTATTTCCCTAATAGCACACAACGTCCTAGGAACGTCCCTATTTGGTACAATTCACGTCCGAATGTTCCGAACCAAAAATAAGTGTCCTTGGGACATCCCATCTCGTACATCTCATGCAATGTCCGAGCAAGGACGTCAACGGAATGTCCGAGCTGGTACATCATTTCAAATGTCCTAGAAATAGCATCCCTTAGACGTCCCACGTGGTACATATTGTAGAAAGTCCATGCAAGGAGGTCCTTGGCATGTACCTGATGGGATATGATTTTAAACGTTCCTTCAGGGACATCCATCGGATGTCCCGAGTAGTACATATTCTGGCATAACTTCAGATCTTATATAATGTCCCTTCGAGACAACCATGAAATGTTCCTGATGGTACATTCCTTCAAATATCTCTGCACAAACGCCCTTAATATTTCCAGGATCGTATAACAATCGAAATGTCCCTTAGGGATATCCGTCGGATGTCCCATTCGGTACATGAACTGTACTCTTTCAATGTCCTAGAAATAACGTCCTATGGACGTCCCAGTCGGTACTGTTGTCCCTGCGAGGACGTTAACTTACACCTCGCCGACAATCGATTGCTTGTAGGCTATAAGTACTCCTCGTCAATGTCCTTCACGTAAGTCCATTGGACATCCTTTGGAAACTTTTTGGGGACCTTCTACGGACCATCAGTTATGCGAGATCTGGTCCTAGTGGGACCCAGGTAAATTCGAATTAAAGAATAATTCGTACGTCCCTGGGACATCCAATCGATATCCCTCAGCTTTGCTGATAGGTTGTTCTATGGATGTCCTATGGATGTCCTCTTTAGTGCTTGATGAGGAATACTGTAGGATTTAGGTATTCGATAGTTGTCCCAGGGACATCCCTCAAGGAAGTCCCTAGTTGGTCCTCAAGTGGGACATTTGTGCGTCCCACAGACGTTCAATGGACGGTCACGGTACCAAATTCGAACGTCCTATGGAAGTCCTGAATGTCGCGACAGGACGTCCTAAGGATATACATGGGACATAAGTGTGTTATTAGGGTTAGTATTGAGTTGCGAAAGGACTTCTGCTTTTTCTTATAAATATTGTGGTACCAAAGTACCTACTAAATCTGTTATACTCCAACATCCAGCGTGACCCAGATAGGCATTTCTCCTTGCAAGGACACATTACAATACTTAATAATGCTTGATATGAAACACCGCGTGTTTTATAATTAACTAATAATGCCTATATCCGTTAGAATAACAATAATTATTATCGAATTACCATTACTCCAACCGGGAAACCTATTCTTTTATTTGACGACAATTATTATTATTCGAATGCTTTCACTTTCCTCTTAAATATTTATCAATTTATTTCACGAAACCGTTGCGAAACCCGAAACAGAAACACCGACCAATTATCATAATGATGACTGAAAGTGAGCACGAATTTCGGAGGAGGCAAAAGTGAAATTCCTTCCGGAGTCAGTAAGAGTCGTCTTAGTGTTGAAGGTGAAATAATGTCTCCTACGCCGACATTTATCGAGGATGTGAAGAATAATAACTGTGACAATGTGAAGGAAAAAGTGTTCCCCTATGAAATCGAGCCAGTGCCCAATGAGACGAACCAGGAATTACTAGAATATTTCACAGGTATGTACAGGGTCTTCACCGATATTTTGAAACTGCCTTAACCTTATCATTTATTCAACGGTTATGAATGACCTGTACATTTTATTATGTTAACAGAAAAACATTCATTATTTCAGATTTTTTTGGGATTTTCTCTCCTCGTTTCTTTAAAATAAAAATATGAATATTATTTCAATATACGTGTAGTGAGGACAAATCAGATGATCTGCCCCAAAATGTCACTGCGTTCGAAGAATTTTCCTATCAGAGATCCTAAAAGAAAAATTCACTAGCTTGTCAGTGACAATTTGTATTGAAAAAAATTTGGAAAAAAGAAATGAAGGTATATAGCAAAAATATCAAATTCTCACTCATCTTTGAAAATGAGAATGATAAATTCAAGATTAGTTAATGAAAACATCCTGAAACTCATTTGATTACCAACGTCACCAATTGTCACTAAGAAGTGTCAAGTCAAATACAAATTTGCCATACAAAAAATCCTTTTTTATGTTGAAAACGGGAGCAGATTTGTTTCCGAAACGTCCAAGGATAATATACTGTGCCTCAGTGAGCGACGTATCAGAGGAGACGCCATTATGACTTACTGAATTCTGCACAATTCCTTCTCTTCTATATTCAAATCGAGAATCAGTGGGGAGAAATCCAGGAAAATGTGCATGCTTATGTTTTAGAATACGCTCTCTTCATTTAAAATATTTTCGACAATGCAGTGTTCTTCTAGAAGGTAGAAGCAACATTGTTATTTCAAATAGAACACCCTGTATTTCATCGCATTTTCAGATTCTACCTGATGAGTTGATTTCATCGATTTATCATACTTGGGGGCCATAAAAAATGATGACAGATAAATGGGGTGTTCAAAATCGAGATATTTCAACTTTAGAATTTTTTTGTGTCGAAACTATTCATATTCGGTCAAAACGGCTCGCATATGTCCCTATCTCAACTTTTGATTCACTATTCACTGATATTCAATCGGAACAGATACAGGGTGGTTCATTATTCTGACCACCCTGTATTTGGCCAATAATGAATAGTTTCGACACAAACAAATCCTATAGTTGAAAAATCTCGATTCTGAACACCCTATATCCCTGTAATCATTGCCGATAGACCCCAAGTGTGATGTATCGATGTGAACAGCTTCTCAGGGAAAATCTAGAAATTCGATAAAATACAGGGTACTCTATTCAAAATTACAAAGATGTTGCTACTTTTTGATAGAAGCGGCAACAGTGCATTGCGGAAAATATTTTGAATTAAAAGAGCGTATTCTGAAATATAAGCATGCATATTTTCTGATTCTCGATATAGAGATAGTGTAAGGTCGTCGTGACATACCCTGTATATTTTTGGGCCTTGCCTCTGCCCTTGTTCGAATGTAATAAAAATAATTTTGTGTTTACTCAATGTCAGTGTCAAATTTGATGATTACCAATTGCATTCAAATTACTTGGAGCGTTGCATAGCAACAAACTTTTAATGCCTAGACAGAGAAAGTATACCTTACCTGCCTGTCAAATGTCTGGGAAAAGCAACCTTCTTCGCCGCTTGGATAATATAGCACATTGTTTTATTAGGATCAAATGTGTGATCAAAAGCCGAACACGCAAATTTTGCGAGTCAAACAGATTCGAAATAATTTTTATCTAATTTATAGAATAATACCACTATTTTAAGTCACTTGAGCATGTCTGTGTCAAAAGCAGCTATTATATCAGCTGTCATACGACACGTTTTTAGTTATTAGGAGTTAAACTTCAACTTCAGCTCCTAGACACTTGAAATGTTGCCAAGCAACATACATAATAATCATTATATTATGTCAGTAAGAGATACGTCAAATTCAAGAGCTGATTTTTGAACGAAAATGGACGACTTTTGAGACGATTGCATGTAGTGATCGACGGAGTTTCATCAGACTCGCTTACCATAAATGCTGGTGTTCCTCAAGGATCAATTCTAGCACGAACACTTTTTCTACTCCATATCAACGATTTATTGGATGCAACTTCATGTCCAGTACACAGCTTCGCGGATGATAGTGCCCTCCATATCGCTTTCTCTTCCAGGGCTCCAATACCAGCCAGGCAAATCAGAAACGAACGAAAGAGAAATGTTGACAATATAAATATGGACTTAGCAACAATTCTCGAATGGGGATCCAATAATAACTTGGTAGATTTCAATGCAAACAAAACACAAGCATGCCTTTTCTCTAGAAAAGCAGATCTCACTGTGCCAAACATAAGCATGTCAGGAGTAACCATACCTCTGAAGACATCCATTTCGATGCTTGGTGTTACTATCAGCAATAACCTTTCTTGGGAAAATCACGTGGGATCAATTGCTAAAGGTGCATCCCAAAAACTTGGTTTTCTCTTTCGGGCCAGGAGCTATTTCACTTCCAGTCAGCTGCTTATGATCTATAAGGCACATATCCGACCTGTCCTGGAATACTGTTCACATATTTGGAGTGCAGCGCCCAAAAATACCCTGAAACTGTTGGATTCTGTCCAAAAAAGGGCAACTCGTCTCATGGGTGATGCCTCGCTCACAAACTGACTCACTTCTCTGGAACACCGTAAAAAAGTTGGCGATCTGGTTCTATTTTATAGATATTTTCATGGACGATGCTCTTATGAAATATCAACAATTGTACCTCCCTTGACAGTCCCCGCGAGATTAACCCGTACGTCGAGTTGAAGCTTCGCACCCCTTCGTGGTCACTTTGGAGACCTGCAGAATCTCTTTTCAAAGACTCGTTTATCCAACGATCAGCGAGGCTCTGGAACACATTCAAGGGAGGTGTTTCCCGAGGCATTTTACCTCCAGTAATTTAAGAAGAACACCAATTCTCACCTTATTTTCCTTGGTTCTCACGATATGTTCTCTGAACATTACAGGATATCCCTTTTCGTGGGAACCAGAACATAACAAAAAAAAGGAAAATAGTGATTTGTTTAACTAGGCAGCAATTCTCGAATGAGGATCCAATAACTTGGTAGATTTGAATGCAAAAAAAACACAAGAATGTCTCTTCTCTAGAAAAGCCGATCTCACTGTGTCCAACATAAGCTTGTCAGGAGTAACCATGCATACCTTTGAAGACATTTATTTCGATGCTTGATATTACTATCAGCAATAACCTTCCTATTTGCTAAAACTTGGTTTCCTGTTTCGGCCAGGAGCTATTCCACTTCCAGTCAGTTGCTTATGATCTATATGATTGTACAGATCCGACCTGTCCTGTACATTTTTGGTATATCTCGCGCTCCAGCAAATTTCAGGATCCTTATCTAACGATTACGTAAGATACAGGGGTGTTTCCATTAGGGGTGAGACACACTGTATCATTTCTTTGTCAGATTACAGTCGAAAATTGCAGTCGGCTCTTGGACTATATCAAGTAGCTTCTTATAATATCGGCAGCAGTGTTGACGTTGTGGAATGTTCAATTCCTGAAAAAGCGTTAGAAAGAGTCTCATCTCCACTCCTTTCCACTGTTTCTGTAATTCAGGATATACACTCAGTTCCAAAAAAGGTGACGCACTTGATATTTGACCTATCTTCTTAAAAAAAATAGTAGGCCGATTTTTATTTATTTTTTGGATTTGTTGGTAGGTAATGCATTTGTCTTCAGAAAAAAAATGAAGAGGTGAAAATTTTTTCAAAGCCTCCTTGATGGTGGAATAACTCGAGCCACGATTTATTCTTAATTTTTGACTCACCCTGTGTGTTAATTGAGTAATGAAATAGGCAGTGCTTGCACCCTATACGGAAGGGGCTTCTTTCGCGAGCATTTTGTTTTTTTATTCATTGATTTATCTCTCGAATTTTCCGAATTACAGCTTTTTTGCTGAATCCTTGCAGATTACCAACTTTCTGAATTTATCGAGAAACAATTTTCTAATGAAATGAACTGATACCAATAATTTTAAAAAATATTTTTATTAAAGACAAAATTATAAATTGGGATGACTGCTTAATACCGTGTATTGCCTCCTCTAGCAACTCTAAGAACTTCTAATCTACGAAGCATACTGGAAATTAATCTGCCATTTCTGCGAGACTTTCCGGAGACCTCTCGCGAGAACGTACCCTTGCCCCTAATTCATCCCACAAATGTTCTATAGGATTCATATCGGGGCTTCTCGCAGGCCATTGTAATGTGGTAATACCAGTAGCTTCTACGACGTTTCGCACTATTGCTGCGGTGTGTGGTCGGCATTATCCTGCATCAATATAAAATTATTGCCCACTAACTCTGCATAAGGTAAGACATACTGTTCTAAAATGTCAAAATGTAAATTTGGGCATTCATCGACTGCCTCACCAGAAGAACATGAAGGGGTGTCTTGCCACTCATTGAAATCCCTTCCCACACCATAACGGACTCACCGTTAAAATTTTCGCATTCTGTTATTGAATATTGATTAAACCGTTCACCAGTTCTTCTCCACACTCTTTTTCTTTCATCGTTAAGGCAAAACCTTGACTCATCCGAAAACAAGACATTCGACCATTCAGGAATATTCCACTGTCCATAATTTTCAACCAAAATTTCTTCTAGCAGCACGATGTTCGGGCAATAATTTGGGACCTTCTGCAGGTCTCCTAGCTTTTAAAGTAACTTCTTTTAGACGTCTACATACCGTCTGCTTATTTACTGCAACATCACGAATTCGGCGAAGATCTTGCTGAACATTTACCGCAGTATTTGATCGATTCCGTAAAATTCGCAATCTCAAGAAGCGATCATCCCTTGGAGAAGTTTTTCGGGGGCGACCAGAACCGACCCTCCGAGCGGTGCTTCCTGTTTGTTCGTACTTGCGGATTGCTCTACGAGCAGTTTCTACATGAACTCCTACTGCACGAGCGGCGTAACGTTTACTACGCTCATCGTTTACTAACGAAACTAATCTTGCTACTTGTTCAGGATTTATTTGAGGCATTTTATGTAATTTTAGTCAATAAAACAAGACACTTAATTAATG